TCTTCGTTGTTGTCAGATGCTTTTTTTATTATCATTATTGTATGTAACAGAGTATGAATAACCAGCAACTTGTAGCAGTTGAAAAAATGCTGTCTTTTAAGGATAGTTAGCTTTATGGTGAACTTATTGTACGTTTTGACAGTGTTTGTGATTGTCAAATAAAGAGCTGATGCTATAGCATTCCTCTTTCCTTTTTTATTTCTTTCTAATATTTTTTGTGTTTACTTCCTGCTACCAACCACAAAATTCAGCATAAATTGCTTTGGTTGGTACAAATCCAAAAGTGAATGTTTAAGTTTTCAAAAACTACATAAGGACATTCTTTTGAATTTATTAAATACATTGACACAAAAGGACAGAACTAGAGGTGTTACTGGCTGTATTTACGATAAAATACCTCAAGTGATATGTTGTACAGATGTATCATCATCTATTTAATGAGGTATTTGCTTTGATGGAGCAGGCCTATGGTAACAGGAAACAGGTTTTAGGAGAAAATTTATAGGATATTGATTAATTCAGAGATAAATATTCAAGTGCCTTTGAGTCACAATATAAACAGTACAAAAGAAAGTTGTGCAAATTATATGTATAAAATCCTCAGATAAAGTTTATAGCTCCAAATGCAGTATAAAGTTCATGCTAACAGAAAAGTAAACTGCAATATACACAAGGCCTTTATACCCATGTTAATTTTCCTTCTGTAAATCTAATATTTATTGATGTAAATGACATGCAACCCTAAGTGAAACCATTGCACCTTTTATTGTCAGTGTACTTTATATGTGTTTTATATAATGTGTAATATACTCTTTGATGTAGTCATCAAGCAGATACTATGAGAAAATTCCCAGAAATTTTTACTTTTTTAATTTACAGAGCCAAGTAAAACTTCAGAGTTTCCTTCAGTAAACTTAAAAATTAGTAATATATCATATCCAAAGTTACTTTTTACCCTCTATTTTGCTGACTACCAAGGTCCTGATTGCAATATCAATGTGATTCTGAAAAGCTCTCTTTCATTGTTGGCTGTTTATGATGATATAACCATAGCTATAACCTACTGATAATTGTTTGGTGTCTGCCATGCACTCCTACTGTATGTGGAAGGAAGTTTAACATTAACATTGCTGTAATGATATTATATTCATATTGTAAAACTATGTGAAGAATATTTGCTTCAGAAGTCTAGCTCTGCTTTAGTGCCCTTGCATAATAATGAATTTTATAAACAAAAACTACTTATTTATTGTGTTAAACATTTGGAATAATGGTGCCTTTTTATGAGTGAAAAAGTGCAAAATACTAGTGTTACTGTGTAATTTATGCTGAAGATGAAAAATTCCAGGGAAATCATGAATTAAGATACACTTTGTGTGTAAAACTCAATATTAGCCATTCCACTTAGTCAGCCTTATATTTTATCTGGTGCAGTTTTAAACAAAACTTGTTTATGGAAGTTATTTTTATCTTGCATCAAGCACAGTTCTCTGAAAATTTCTGTTTTGTTACTATATTACTGTAGACAGTCCTGCTGTATAGTAACTTTATGGCAGTGTTATTTTACAAGATACTTTGATGATTTTAACATTAGTAATGCTTCAATTGAAGATGCTTTTTTATGAGGATAAGTTTTGCCCTTTAACATTTCCTGTCTTGTTCACTCATTTCTGCCATTGAGAATACTGATGTATTGTTTTTTATTAAGTTATTTAATTGGTGCAGGAATTTTTTGTGCTTTTGTTTAAAAAAGGTCTATTGTAATGTAAATATAAAGATTTTGTTTTCTGAATTATTGCACAATTACATGAAGTACTTGTTGGATGAAGAATCTATTGTGTACTTAATTATTTTCCATGAAAATAAATGATGATGAAATATCTCCATAAGCTTATTTTGCATAGAATTTCTCAAATTTGGTTTAAGGATTTGAATCTTACAAGATTTGCATATGGAATTGGTAGTTATCACACATAGCTTTATGTATGTAAATGCGAAGCTGTATGCCTTTAAAATTGGCAGGTGCATGCTTTATTTCCAATTTGACTGCCTCTGTGTGGAAGGGATGCATGATTATACTACTTCATTTTTTTGTACAATGCTTTTTAAGTCCAGATAAAAGCTTTAGTCACTAAGTTTAAGTGCCAGAGAGTGTGGTGCTCAAGTGCTGGTGGATTCAAGAATGTCTAATAAAGATAGAGGTTGTATTATCCCACAGAAGAACCTTGTAGTTCACATTAAGTTTCAAGAATTACTCGTGTTGTAAACTACACAATATATTTTGTCTGAATGAAAGTCGGTATAGAGGCATATGATGCTTTATGACATTTCTATGGTCTGTATAACTTGTGTAGCTGGCCAGGCACCCATTGTAATATAGATTAGTTGTGATTATCAGCTTTCAGTGAGCCCCACAACTGGTTAGAATTAGCTTTTATTTTAGTACATTCCTAATAAATATATATGTCCAGTGATTATGACCTCATTACTTAAATGGTTGCCGATGTATATTTGAATTCTAGCAAAAGGAAAGTAGCTTTTACTTAATTTTATTATATTTTTGTTTTTGGAAGTCAAATTTATAGCCCATGTCTTTTACATGGTACCTTGTTGGTGTATATTTTGGTACTCAAGGGACCAGGCACAGAAAATATACTGTAATCCTGTGGCAGCTTTTTAGAATTGGTGATATATTTTATAAAAGAAAAACAGTAAAAATGCAATATTCCTTGCATAATTAACACTTTGTAACATGAAAATAAATATTTATTAGAAAATATTAGATATTATGTTACTGAGACAGATACACCAACAAGAGTCAAGAGTTCTAGTGAAGCATAGTTTTCAGAAAGATTGATAGACTCAAGAAGCTGAGTCAAGCGAGAGTTGATTTCATGTTTGTTTTTGTCATACACAGTTTTGCAGTTTGTCACAAGTACATTACATAATGTATCATACCTATAGGTGGATAAACTTACCTTTTTGATTTGTTTTCCTCCATAATGAAACACCCAGTATAGACAGTAAAGGGCTTTTATCACATACACAAGCAGCATAGAAATTTCCATTGAACTGGTTGAAATACCTAGATTATCTAGGAGATAAATTTTGCAGACCACACACTGAGCAGAGATTTTATAAGAATACTTAGTTTTAGGACACAACACAGGATCAATATGTAAATATGGTATTAATTTCGAATTTGTACATATAATGTATAGATATGTTCACCCAACCTTTTCCATTATCTAATACTGAATATGAAATTCAATTTTGATTGAATTCAGTTGATTTTACTTTGACTTAGAAGTGGAAATTCTTTTTTCTAGTTATTTCATATTTACTCATTAAATGTTGCCATCATTATTATATTTTAGATTTTTTTACTTGGAAATCCTGTCAGTATTTACAAAAAGAATGGAATTGACAGTATTCAGATTTTTTTTACATATCTTCTTTTTGCAAATATGGGAAAGGTGAATAGGCTTATACAGAGGAATTATAACTGTACACTGATAGGTGCCATAGCATTCCAACAGTATTTTGCAATATAGTTTGAAGCCAGTTTGAATGGGATATTATCTTGAGCTGCATCTTTGTGTTAGCCTTAGGAATTAGTTGTCATGATGAATTCCTGAACAGTGTATAGTCCACAATGATGTTCTATTTCTCTAACTTGATAAATAAAAATTTTCTCGTGTATTTTTGCTTCTTTGATTGAAACCTGGTTTGAGTTGGTGGTAAGGTTTTTTATTTCGTTAAGTTATTGGAATGAAGATCAGTATTGAAGAGCAATGTTTATTAGATGGTGAAAGAAAAGTTAAAGGTATGATATTGTTCAGTTTCATCAAATAATGTAATTATTTGATAATATATTAGTGGGGATAAACCATAAAGAAAAAATACACTTGAGAGGTGAATTTCCTGAGGGCATAATTTAACCCACTTAAGCTGGGATGGCAAAAGGACAAGCCATGTCCAGAGTATCTTTGTATGTTGCCTTTACACACAGGTGGCTCCACATGTGCATCATCAGCAGTCAATTACTCGATTTTTTGAAAGATTCTTCTTTATTTTTATTGCTATTAGTATTGTTATCAACATTCTAATAATCATATGTCTATAGTGAAAATAATACTGATATTAATAACATGAAAAAAAAATCCCCAGGAATGAAGGAAAGCTAAATCAGGTGAGGTAACCTAGGCATACTATTTACAAAGGGAAACTGCAGTGGACAGTGTAATTTCCCTCTGTGTGTGTGTGTGTGTGTGTGTGCGTGTGCGTGTGTGTGTGCGTGTGTGCGTGTGCGTGTGCGTGTGCGTGTGCGTGTGCGTGTGCGTGGTGTGTGTGTGTGTGTGTGTGTGTGTGTGTGTGAGTGTGTGTGTGTGTGTGTGGTGTGTGTGTGTGTGTGTGTGTGGTGTGTGTGTGTGTGTGTGTGTGTGTGTGTGTGTGTGTATGTGTGTGTGTGTGTGTGTGTGTTGTGTGTGTGTGTGTGTGTGGTGTGTGTGTGTGTGTGTGTGTGTGTGTGTGTATGTGTGTGTGGTGTGTGTGTGTGTGTGTGTGTTGTTGGTGTGTGTGTGTGTGTGTGTGTGTGTGTGGTGTGTGTGTGTGTGTGTGTGGTGTGTGTGTGTGTGTGTGTGACCCTGAGCATGTCTTGCTGAATAAATTTCCAAATTATATTTATGCAGCTTCACGTAACTTCAAAACACAAATTTCACGTCATTCATGACAAACAAAGTAAAGTGAAAAATCCATGGTGCAACTAAGATACAAAGAAACAGTATTAATGACATTACACGATATCAAGACTAAATAAATGTAAAACAATAGTAAAACAATGGTAATAACAAAATAGTTGTTAAAAATATGATAAAGGAATATGCAACTTCATTTCTTCATTATTTCAACGTTTTACGATGCGAAAAATAATTGTAGAAGGTCAGTTTGGAAGTCAAAAACAGATCGTTAATTCAAAAAGCTGAATTTTGTAGGAAAAC